AGAGGTGGTAGATCGTATACTCTCTATGGCTTGTTCCCAGGAGTCCTCATGTATTTGTATTCCTAGTTCCGATTCCCATGTACACTTATGTTTAGCATTAGAGCAGTAGCTAAAAGCTAAGATAATGTCATACAGCTTTGAAATGATTCCTCTGTGATGAGGCACAAATGAAAGCATGGTTTCCCACCCCTGTTCTGAAGGTGTAGAGGGGAAATTAGGGAAACATTTAGCCACAAAATTGCGAGTTTGAAAGTGGCAAAACAGATGAGTAACACGGAGGTCATAGCGAGATGACAAATTGGCAAAACTATCAAAGACACAATCTACATATAAATGTCTGCCTTGTGTAAGACCCTTGTCAAACCACAAAGAAAATGTCGAGTCCGAGATTGATGGAGGAAATAAATGGTTGTTATATATGGACCCAAGGAAGATGCCGTAACAAATTTAGAGTGCTGTCTAAATTGATACCAGATTTTGAGTGTTTTAAGAACCAATTGATTATCAGTTTATAGAGAGGGTTTTGCGGGTAAAGAGGAATAAAGTAGAGCAGGTATTGAAGATCCCTTACAGGATGATAGTTCTAATTTACACCAAGAGTATCCAGGAGATTTTAACCAGTAGCAAAGTTTGTGGATGTGAGCAGCCCAATAGCAAGTTAGAAAGTTAGGTAATGCAAGTCCTCCACTAAGTTAGCATCTCTGCAGTAAGATTTTATGAACCCTAGGTGATTTCCCATTCCAAATAAACGAACAAATTATCTTATCCAGGGAGCTGAAAAAATGTTCTGGTAGAAAAAGAGGAATTGACTGGAATAAAAATAAAAATTTGGCTAAAATATGTTACACTCACTTTTCCCCAAATTTAATTTTAACCTGAAAAGGTGCTGAAATTCTCAAGAATACTTAGGATCAGTTATATACAATAACAAATCATCCGCATACAGCGATACACTATCGGATGCCTATCGGAAGTTCAGCCGAATGTTTTGAGTAAATTATATTGAAAAGTGAAAAGTGTACGGGTAATGAACAATTGACATCCCTTTTTATAAAACCGTTTTGCTCTTCGGATATAATATGAGGAACCACATTCTCTAGGCGGGATGCAATTACTTTAGCTAACACCTTTACATCAGCAATAAGCAGAGATAATGGTCTGTAGTGTCACGCCCAGCTCCTGCAGTTAGGTTATGTGTTCAGTTTTGTCTGCTACCACTTCCTGTTGTACTTCAGTGGCACATCTTGTGTCTCGTTTCAGGTCTTCGTCTGCCTTCCCTCCTGTGTGATTACCAGTCGCCGCCCTAATGTGCTCCACCTGTGTCGTTGTCTCCCCTGCCCCAATGTATAAACCCTTGTTTCCTTTGTGCCTGTGCCAGTTTGTCTTCAATTTCCTCGTGTATGCCTTAATGTGTTTTGACCTCAGCATCAGTTTTTTAACTACAATTTCTGCCCTGCGATTTTGTACCTCTGCCTGCAAGTTTTTTGAACCTTGTTCAATAAACTGCCTTTCGTGAACCACCTTAAGTCGTGCCCTGTGAGTCCATTACCCCAGTGTGAGCCTTGATATGTAGGAACCACAGGAGGTTGGATCTTTGTCCCTTTTTGAGAAGGAGAACAATAGTGGCTTATGTCAAGGTTGGTGGTAATGAACCACTTTCCACGGATTCATTGAACATGGATAAAATTAGTAGTGCCAATTTACCAATAAATGTTTTGAAAAATTCTATCAGCTTTGTTAGATTGCATAGCTTTAATTGCATTTAATACTACAAGGGAGAGTGAGGAGTCCAGTTGTCTGGCAGTATTAGTATCAATAACAGGATTCGAAAGTGTGTGTGGAGAAATTTGTTCATTTCAGTCTTATCTGTAGGAAAGTCTTTATATAATGAAAAGTAAAAAGATTTAAAAGCAGCATTAATTTCCAAGGGATCTGTAGTAATAGTATCATAAGTAATACTGGGTATCAAATGGGAAGTGGCCTGTCGACGTAGCTGCCATTTCTATCAGCAATAACATCAGTGGATGAGAATTTCCCTTTTTTGTTAATTAAAATTGCAATTCCTCTAGCTTTTTGAATTAAAATTTGAGTGGAAGACTTCACTTACCCAAGGGCAATGTAACCTATGGTGATCTTTAATATGAAGGTTCATCTCCTGTAAAAATACTAAATCAGAGTTTAAAAATTTCAAGTGTGCAAACTATAGATCTCTTAACAGGATTACCCATACCTCTGATATTCCAACTGATAAATCTGAGAGGTGTGCCTGAACCAGCAATGCTGGGATCTATATTGCCATTAACCATTAAAAAAAAAAACTACGAAAATGGTCATTGAGAGCCGAGGTGAGACACCCTCCCCCCAACATACAAATAGTAAGTAGTAGGTAAGTAAGTAAAGTTTATTTGTATTGCACCTTTCACAGATAAAAATCACAAAGTGCTTCACAATAAAATGCAATGTCAATACAACAAAGTAAAATACATTGCATAAGAAAATTTTATGAAAATGGAAAACAGAACAAAACCATAAAAACCCCACATCTAACTAAAAGCCTGCTTGAATAACAGCGTCTTCAGTTGCTTTTTAAAAGAATCAACAGAATTCACACAGCGTAGAAAGTAAGGCAAAGCATTCCACAGCCAAGGTGCCACTGCTTGGAATGAACGATCCCCTCTGGTTTTAAAATGAGTGTGGGGAACCACTAACAACCTCTGACCCGATGACCTCAAACTACAGGTGGGAGTATGAAATTGTATCAACTCAGAGATATAGGGAGGAACTTGACCATGCAGGGCTCTAAAAGTAAGGACCAGGATTTTAAACTGAATTCTATACTGGACTTCTATACTGAAGTGCTGCTAAAACAGGTGTGATGTGTGCTCTTTTGTTAATGGGAGTTAAAAGCCTTGCAGCAGAGTTATGAAAAGCCTGGAGACGGTAAAGCTCCTTCTTGCTCAAACAAGTAAAAATACTGTTACAATAATCTAAACGAGAGGAAATAAAAGCATGAATGATCATCTCTAACTCACCCTTTGACACCAGTGTTCTTAATTTGGATATATTCCTTAGTTGGAAGAAACAGTTTCTGACTAGTTGTTTAGAGTGGTACTCTAAGGACATCGCAGAATCAAAAACAACACCTAAGCTCCTGAGGCTCAGCTAGACAGACAAGCCTAAGTCACCAATATGCTGTTTAATCAGAGGGATTCTACTTTCAGGGGCAATAATCAGTGTTTCTGTTTTATCTGAGTTCAGAAGCAGGAAGTTCAGATTCCTTGAACGAGCAGTACAGTTGAATATCATCCGCATACAGCTACTGGTCATAAACAGGAGCTGGTACACAGGTGAGGAGGGAGGACACACGAGCGGGGGCGGAAATGTTTGTCTGTAACTTTCCCAGTCCAACAACCAGCGTCGATCATACGTCCGAGCAGCAGAGACACAATCGTTAGACGTTAGGGCTGATATAACAAAACATACCAGTACAAACACTGAAAGTTGACATGCGTCCAAACCAAACACAAGCGTCATCTTGCTGATGACGAGGGCAATACACCCAAAGTCCCCATATAACCACAGAACAAAGGAGACAGCAGTGTTTCCCACAATAACCAAAAGTTCTCCACTATAGCGTTGAACAACCCGGAGACTACGAAGAACAGAAGAGAGAGAGAGAAAAAAACCTCCAGCCGATTTTGATATTAGTTAACAGTGAGGGCACAATGGTAACCACGTTATATTGAAAAAGCTCACATTATAACATTGTTTCATCAAAGTGTGAACTTTCCAACAAAACCACAAAGATGACCGTCTTAATAACACAAATCAAATTTGCACATATAGATCAAATGAATACAGAAAGGCACGTGAAAATACAAATGAACAAATAACAGTAGACGCTGCTATTCAAGCAGGCTTTCAGTTAGACGAGGGGTTTTTATGGTTTTGTTCTATGCTTTCCATATGTATTTACATTTTCTTGTGAAGCACTTTGTGATTTTTATCTGTGAAAGGCGCTATACAAATAAACTCTAATTACTTACTATTGACTTGGGAGTGCATGGCTGCTTCTGGAACAGGCTCATTAATATTTATTGATGATGTAACTGATAGCTGGTAGCAGCAGAATGAAGTCAGAAGTGGACAGAAACATTTTGTCTGCCAATTTACGGAGAAATGCATTGAAACTAGTGGGGAGGAAGTTTATCATGCAGCAGGACAGTGACCCAAAGCACACTGCCAACAAAACAAAGGACTTCATCAGGGGAAAAAAGTGGAAGGTCTTAGACCGGCCAAGTCAGTCACCTGACCTTAACCCAATAGAGCTGCATTTCACCTTCTTAAGGGGAGACTGAAGGGAGAAACACCCCGAAACAAACAAGAACTGAAAGAAGCTGCGGTAAAAGCCTGGAATAGCATCACAAATGAAGAATGCAACAGTTTGGTGATGTCGATGGGTTGCAGCCTTGAGGCAGTTATTACAAGCAAGGGTTATGCCACCAAATATTAAACGTTATTTACTGTAAGATTATTTGTTCCATTACTTCTTCTCACCTAAGAATGCTGTGGTCTAATACAAATGGTGGTATGTCCTGAGTTGTTTAACACATCTAGATGTGAATGCCAGGAAATAAAAGCTGAAATTCTGAACTCTTGTCTCATACTCATCTTTTGATCTTAAACCCAAATGTCTTCAGTGAACAACAAAAACAAAGGAATTTGCCTTCCCGTTCCAATACTTTTGGAGGGGACTGTATATCGTTACTACACTGTACATCTTGAATTCAGAAAAGTTATTTCCCACATCAAAAAAAAGGAAACAGGGAAAGAAGTGACTATAACGATGGTGACTCGAGAGTGATTATGAGTGAGAAGTTCAGGAACAGGAAATAGAAAATTAGATCATAAAAAGTAGCTGAAGAGGACAGTTTTCTTTAGGACAGATGTCAGACAAAGACATTTTTTCAGTGAGCAGCATTTATTAATGGTTAGTTCACCTATTTGCCCTGTACCACATTGTGGAGGCAATTTTGGTTGCGCTGTCATCTGAGGCTTAGTTGTTGCTTTGTAGTACTGGGTCCAGGACTGGAAGCTCTCATTAGACCTGTGGATCCACAGCAAATGATTTTGTTGAAGTCATATAACCGGATTGTAATTTCTTAACAACATTTTTTAATTGAAGTTCAATGAACAATTCAACAGGTAAGAGAGGAGGAGACTGATTATGAAGCGTGCATTTTGTTTTAATCAATACGTCAACTTTTCCATCTTAGCCAAGTGTAAAACTTGGAGCCTCGCAGCCTCCATCTCCCACTCACTTCGCCTCAGCGGTAGCTTCCGCTCTACCTCCTCTCAACACCTTTTCCTCATTCGAGGTCAGTAATGCTACACAATCTCTGTGCTCTACACTGAGCTCATGCCTGGATGTCTGTGTGACCCTGTGTCCTCTATCCACCGAACCTGCTCGCCTCAGCCAGTCCCACCCATCGCTGCCTGATACCATCCGTCTGCCGCACACCGATCTCAGAGCAGACAAAGACCCTGCCGACCTCAAGGGCTTCTCAACCAGCACCAGTGCTGCCAAAACTGCATTTTATAATGACTGAATTAGCAGTGCCACTGACGTAAGGAAATTTCTTTCCACTTTTGAATCTCTATTCTGCCTTCACCACCCACAAACCTATCTGCCGATTCCTTTGCCTCCTTCTTCACAGGCAAAGTGCAGGCTGTAACTATACATTATACATGTCTTTCTCCATGCCCTCGGGCAATGGCTAAAAAGGTTCGACACCAAGTATAACATGTAGCTGTACTGTTACATCTTTTCCTGTCTTCCCAGGTCAATGGCACTTCACTTTCCTTGTTTACTCCTCTCACAAAGAGCGAGGTATCAGAACTCCTGACCTGTAGCCGTCCCACTGCATGCCCACTGGACTGGATTCCTACCAAGCCACATCTCCTACCGAGAGGCTGAATTGATCTCTTGTATTGAAAACACTATTCATTAACTCACTTCTTTAGGTACTTACCCCATTAATGCCATATGCACTATTAGCTCTTACTAATATTGCTGCTTTAACTAGTATCTATTGTCACTTGTATTTCTCTTACTTTATTTGCTTTATTTATGCTTGTATGTTGTTCCTAAAATGTAAGTCATTTTGGATAAAAGTGTCTGTAAAATGAGTAAATGTAATGTAAAAACCCAATCCTACTGACAATCAATGTTGGCATCTTCTAACCATGACAATGATTGTTCCCCAGACCAAACAAAGTACAGATTTTAACGCAAACCACGCTGGCAGATCAAAAAAAGTTTCACTTTTGCTACAGTGATTAGTAACAATTTTGAAAGGCACTGACGTCAGATCGAAAAACTCTTATATGCTTCATTATGGAGGGAAATCACAATATATTTTGTTAGTTGATTTGGAGGACTTTATGAAACAAAACATCCAATTTAGAAAATAGGTGGCAAAAACACCAGAACTGTTTCACTTTGTAAAAGAGCAACTGCATGCTTAAAATGTGTTTTTATACAATCACATACTGGTGGCCATAAAGAAAATACTGTAGCAAACACCTCTTGAGTCAGGACAGCAAAAAGGCAAACAACCTTTAAAATATACATCACACCTACTTTAACATTCTCCTAAGTAAGACACTTTAAATGAAATTTATTGTGTGACTAGATTTTCCCACCTTACATTGACCACTCCTACAGAGTCAGCTGACATCAAACTGTCTGATTACATTTTTTGGCAAACACAAGCCACCTAACTACAAGGTCCAACATATTTTATTTGTCATTACAACAGGATTGTAAAAGGGATACAGTTTGTAGTTCCCTTTATGCTACAAAGCTATGGCACTGCTGGTGAAATCCAGCTACTACTTAAACAGTGTACTGACAGGATTATTGAATGGGCAGTAAACAGCAAAGGTGGCACAGGCCCAGTCTCTGTTTGAAGACATATCTTGTTGGGAATCAAGACAAATTTGGATTCCCAGTATTTGCCTACTCCCTTTCCCAGGAAAAATCCCAGTGGTGAAACAAACACCAAGTAGTCACACAAAAACACCTGATAGGCATCAACCTTTCAGATTTCTCCCATTTCCTTATAATGATAAAGTGGCACACTTTTCAGAATGAGTGAGAACGAGTGTGTTGAAACTTATCATAAGATCAATTGATCAAAAAGATGATTGGGTTTTTTGCACCTCAAATTTTGTGTAGCTTTTAGATTCATTTTGGTTGCACTAAAGACCACTACCACATAGTCTAATGAATATGAATCAGAAAATCTGAATAAACACCACTTTATTAGAAGTATCAAATCCAGATTTTCCTGTCAAAAAAAGGTCAAAAGAAACATTCAGCTATAACACACATACAAATAAGTACAACACGAGAAGCTTGATAAAGTGACACACTTTCTTGAATGTGAGATGCTGCACATATAAGTCACAAAGAATTTTCCTTCGCCACCTATGCTGTCAGTTGTTAATAGGGACAAAAGATAGTTCCAATATGGACTCTACCCCCTGAGCTATTTGAATTCTTGCCATATTGAAGCAGATCATAGTGATTTCACCCACCTGTAGATCCACAGCAGCAGGGTGAGAAAGAGGATGGTGTCGACCGCAATGATGCACATTAACAATCTGAACTTCTTTAGTGGAGACGGCTGATGATGATCGTTGACAGACATTTTGCCTCAGTTTTGCTGCTTTTGAAATTGTGTAGAAACCTACACAAACAGAAATAAGTGAATGATTCTTACCTTTTCCTCAGATGCTTCAGCACCAGCAGCTCAGACATCCTCAGTGGAGAAACGGTAACAAAAAGTGCAAAACATGCTGAATTGAGGAAGATTTAAGCATTACAAATATGAATCCTTTATTGAAAGAACCATGGCCTGCAGACTGCAGTGTTCATTGCACAAACCAACAACCCCTCATAATGCCCGACATAATGTTCAGTTCTGAATTTCAGTTCAGTTGTATATTCAGGTGCAAATTCCCAAAAGGATTGTATGGCTATTGTGTCCACTAAACCTCCACAAATAAGACAGTGTAATTCAAAGCACAAACAAAAGGTGAAATGTACCTCTATCTGTGCTGACAAGCCAATAGCTAACAGTTAGAGCATCCCAAATAACAACTGTAAATGACCGCTTAGGTAATTGGAACTGTATTGATTTTGTATTTGTAAAAGCTGGTTTTATTGGATTATAGTGTAAGCATGAGCAGATAACGCTACGCAGTCAGCAGTAGTGTCCACCAGTGGGCAGCATACTTTCTGCTGCTCGGTCAAAGTATCCCCTGTGTATCCCCTCTCTTTCACGTCAACATTCTGGGTTATTTTTGTAGAATTGAGGAAAATAATGAATCATCCATTTTGGAAAAAGCAGTCCATAATAAAATGTGGAAAAAGTGAAGTACTGTGAATACTTTCCGGATGCACTGTACCCCATTTGGCCCCTCCTATCAAATCAAACAGCCCTCCTTCTCTTTAAGTACTGTTTTTTTAATACCATATTTGGATATGTTTCGTGTTGATAACCTATTTCAATAGGAGTAAGTAGAGAATGGGCCTATTATGCACTCTGCGCATGCGTTGGTGTCTGAAGCTACCTGTCAGAAGCTCCTGACTCTTATCCAGTTTTAATCCACACTTTTACGTTACATTTTTTATATCCTTTTTATTTAACTTAAGTTTTTAACTTAAGTTTTATGTGGGTTAAGGATTTTAGTCATCCGACATAGATTTTAAGATAGATTACCCTAAAAACGCTATCAACGCTACGGATTACAACAAAGCTCCGGCGACTGAAGTTATGCTAGCTGAGATAACTCTGCCCCATGAGGACTGCACACTCCTTAAGAAAGCGAACAAGAAGATTGCTGACCTTATAGAAGACATCCGAAGACTTTCAGAGGAACTTAAAGAGAAAGATTCCCTGCTGACTGGCTTTATGGATGTGGCTTCAGTACAAGCAAAACAGATTGTTTCTCTAAGTGCAACCGCTAACATCCAGGACACCGTGCTATGGGACCCCTCTAGCCTTCCAAGGCTTTCCTCTTGCTCGACTCTGAAGCATCAGTCAACCTGGGCTGAAGTGGTGGTCCGTGGCTGCAAGAGAGGCAGCTCACACACTCCATCCTCAGTCCGCATGCAGTGTTGAAACAGATTCTGTTCAGTCCTGCTCTGGAACCCCACAACCGGCATCTCCTCATCCCCTTTTCTCCCCAACCACACTAATAATTGGTGACTCCATAACCAGAAACATCCGTTTCTTTAACGCTACCACTCACTGCTTCCCTGGTGCCACCACAGCTGACAATTTAAAAAAACTCCAGGGCCTAATGCCATCGCTCCCGTCCTCCATCACAAGAGTGATAGTCCATGTGGGAACAAATGACACAGCTCTTCAGCAGTCTGAGCTGACAAAATCAGATTTTAACTGTCTTTTTTAACTTTTTAAAGCAGTGTGGAAAGTCCATTTTTATCTCTGGTCCCATTCCCACAGTTGGTCGTGGTGCTGGCCGCTTCAGTAGACTCCTTGGCCTCCACGACTGGCTTCAGTCCGCATTCAGGGCTCATCGTGTGGTTTTGTCGATAACTTTAATATTTTGTGGCAAAGAATATCTCTTTTTAAGACGGACTTCACCCAAACAAACGGGGCTCATAAATATTAGCTGCTCACATACAGCATGTGGTGCGGTCCACACATGACTTACGTGAATGACTAATCATTCATGCAGCACACCTGGACACACCACCGCTCACTGAACAGAACTCTGCCTCACTGCCACAAACAACTGTCTCCACCTGCTGGCATGTAAAGCCATCTGCTCCCAGCGCTGTTCCAAAGACTTCTATTCCTGTCATCATCACGCATAGACCAGTAAACCGAAATGTGCACATCCCACACAGAAATAATAGAAATCTTATAAGGATTAGGACAACTGCACCAACTCCAGCACCCAGAACAAACTCATTTAAAATGGCTCTCTTCAATGTGAGATCACAGACTTTTATCTTAAATGATTTTATCTTGTCTGCAAATCTGGATTTTATGTTTTTAATTAAATCCTGGTTGCAAATGAATGACTATAGCCAGCTAGCTGAACTGTGTCCGCCTCAATATGATTGTTTTAGTCAACCGAGGGTCAGTGGTCGTGGTGGTGGGCTAGTGAGCGTGTATAGGAAAAATGTTAAATGTCATCAAGTACGCTGTGATGAATATAACTTCTTTGAAGTTCTCACTCTTAAAGTTGGAGGGCTGCAACAATCATATTTGTTATAATTTATCGCCCCCCAAAACCGCCTGGAGGATTTTTAGCAGAACTTCCTGAATTTTTATCTACTCTGGATTTAAATTATGACAGAATTGTTCTTTGTGGCGATTTTAATATTCATGTTGATGACCCCACCAATGTTAATGCAACTGACTTTTTAAATATGGCCACTTCTTTTAACTTCAAACAACATGTCAAAGGGCAAACACATAACCGTGGTCATACACTGGACTTGGTTTTTACCCTGGGTGTCAGCATTTCCTCTGTGGAATTAGTGGACATGACCATATCTGACCACAGATGTATTGTGTGTAGCTGCGATTCTCCTGTTATTCATGCCGCCTCACCAAGCTCCGTGTGTTCTCGCTTCTTTAATGAACAAAGTGTTTCAAAGTTTTGCACATTCTTTCAGAGCCAAAGCCAAAACCTGTCTGATTCCAACACCAACAATCTGGTCGATCATTTCAATCATATCTGCTTGTCGTCATTAAATATTACTGCTCCTCTAAAGGTTAGGCCTACGTCTAAAGCTAGTAAGCAACCCTGGATAAATGACAGCATTTGCAGCCTAAAAAGGGAATGCAGGAAATCAGAGCGCAGATGGAAAAAATCCAGTCTCCAAGTCCATTACCTCAGTCTGAAGGATTTATTAATTAACTACAATAACATGGTTAAGGATGCGAGAGAACACACACACTATTTTTCTGAACTTTACATCTCCGTAACCGCAAGTCCCTTTCATTTCAAACTCTACTCGTTTCTTCACCACGGGCCCCCCAAGCCGCGGCGGAGTTCAGTTCGTGTGGCCTCCGCGGGGCGAGGCGGGGAGGCTTGGACCCCGCTTACAACTGCTTGCGGTTCTAGTTTTTTGTTTTGTTTTGTTTTTTTAGGGCCCAACACAAACCGTGCGAGAGAACACACTATTTTTCTGAACTCATTACTACACATAAACACAATCACAGGTTTCTGGTAAACCCAACCCCTCCATGTGCCTCAGCTGGAAGTAATGATGACTGAATTGTTTTTATCTTATTTTACCAATAAGGTGGTGTCAATCGGAGCCTCTGTTACCCCCACGGCCTCTTACTCAGAGATCCCTCACCAGCAACGAGAGAGTTTTAACCAGTTTTGTCCCATCGCCTTGTCTGAGCTTTTAAAAACAGTATCACAAATGAGAGTGTCCTCCAGCCCACTTGATGTAATACCTACAAAGTTTTTTACTGAAAGTAATGGATTCTGGCCCCATTTGATCTCTGTTTTTAACAGCTCCCTATCTACTGGTTGTGTCCCTGATTATTTTAAAACGGCTTGCGTGAAACCACTTTTAAAGAAACCTGGTTTAGATCCCTCCCTCCCACAAAATTTTAGACCAATTTCAAAACTTTTATTGCAAAGATTCTAGAAAGAATTGTGTCCAAACAGCTGCTCACTGTGCTGGAAAATAACAAATTATTTGAAAAGTTTCAGTCTGGTTTCAGGAAGTACCACAGCACTGAGACTGCCCTGCTTAAAGTCACCAATGACCTTTTAATGTCTGCTGATGAAGGTATGTGCTCAGTCCTGGTACTCCTGGACCTTAGCGCTGCTTTTGAAAACATTGATAACAACATCATGTTAGACTGAGGCACTGGGTGGGGATCTCTGGTACTGCCGTAGAATGGTTTTCATCCTACCTGTCAAATAGGAAGTTTTGCGTGTCTGTAAACAACTATGTCTCTTTGTTCTGTCCAGTTAAATATGGTGTGCCTCAGGGGTCGGTCTTAGGACTCATTTTGTTTTCTTTGTATCTGCTTCCCCTTGGACATATTATCCATAAACATGGTATTTCTTTTTATATTTATGCTGATGACACACAAATGTACTTGCCCGTCAGATCCACAGACACTGGAATGCTGAGTTCACTTAACAACTGCCTTTGTGAAGTTAAAAAATAATCAAATAATTTCCCCCAGCTGAACTCAGACAAAACAGAAATCCTGGTCATTGGGTACCAGCAGATGGCAAAACAAATACTGCCATCTGCTGGTTCCCTAGTAAATCACATTAAGCCTGTTGCAAAGAATTTTGGTGTCTGGTTTGATAGTAATTTAAATTTCGAGCAGCACACGACAAAGCTTGTTCAATCATGTTTTTATCAACTTAGAAATATAGCAAAAATTCGATCTATGTTAACTTTTAAGGACACTCAGACCATTCATCTCATCACGCCTGGATTACTGCAACAGCCTTTTCACCTGTTTAACCCAAAAATCTACTGATCGACTCCAGACTGTCCAGAACTCAGCTGCCAGGCTTTTAACCAGAACAAAGAAATATGATCACATCACCCCTATTTTAGCTTCATTACACTGGCTCCCAGTGTGTTTTAGAATTGACTTTAAAATTTTATTGATCACTTTTAAAGCTCTTCATGGCCTCTCGCCTTG